CAGCATTTCCAGGTAGGGCGCAGGGGCTAGATGGCTACTCGCTCGGCTTGTCAGGACCTTGCTGATATCATGTCATTCCACTGCCCAGGCGTCAGTGTGGCTGGAATGTCCAGATCTCTCACCTGCAAAATCTTCACTTTTGTGGATATTTGGGCTGGTGTGTTTTTAATGTCTCTGTGGCATCACATGGCCTGGCTAGTAACTGTCCCTCCTCTGTCACTCCTGAGCAGTCCATGAACATCCTGACCTCCGTGTTGCTGCTGTACGCCAGGGAGGAGGAAGCCTTTTGGCTGCTGGTTGCTGTGTGTGAGCGGATGCTGCCCGACTACTTCAACCACCGTGTGATTGGTAACCACCCCCTTCCCCTCCCCTGTGTCCGGGCACTGTGTGTACCATCAGTCCTGTTTATAAAACCCCTCTGTGCTGCTCAGCTAGTCTCGGCAGATACGGGTTGACTCTTGGATTTGCAAAACCAACTTGGGGAATCTCCTGCCCAGTTCTGGCAATGTAGTAGAATAAGGTAACCCGAATATGCTCCTGTTGCACACACCTACAGATTTTGGATTAAAAAAATAATCCCAAACTATTTTAAATGGGTAGCTTACAAGAAGGAAGGGAAAGTCGTAGGTCCAAGAAACAAGTCAAAATCTGAAAACCAGAGTGGTTTTGCACTGACGCCGTGGCCTGGGAAGTAGGGAGGGTTCCTCTCAGTGGCCAAGGGGGCTTGTGCACAGGAGCCCCCGTTCCCCTGGAAGAGAGGCGGTGGGTGGGTTGGTGTGGGAGGCCCTCGAGGCAAGGCTCCACTTACACGAGGAGACATGGTAAAGCTTGTTCTGTTTGCCACTGCGTGGGCTCTGGGTAAACCTGTGGCCCCACAATGCCCCCACCTTCGGCGCCCCCGAGTGTGCACTTTCTCTGTGTTCCAGCAACCACCTAGTGGAGAAGATGATACAAAAGTTGTTTCAGGTTGGTGACACTCTTAGGGACACTTTTGGTAATCTGGATGAGAGATGGAGGTGGCCCACAATTAAGGTGGCAGCCGTGGGAAGAGAAACAGAAGAACCAGTTTGAGACAGAATTTGGCACCTGAGTGGATATAGGGAGC